TTGCCCCCGGACCCCCCTAGAGGAGGTTAGGTCCCCCCCACTTAAATCATGTTCACATAGATAGGATACTAAATACATTTGCACACATCTTGTGTCCATATCTTTCTGTTTTGGTGGTCATGCCACACCGTGCACATGCATGCATGCATGCATGCATGCATGCATGCATGCATGCGTCAAACATGAGTCATGGTAAGATATCTGGATTAAGAGGTTGCTTTTTCTTTGCACAGGATGAAAGAAAGGCCAAATGAATGGGCTGTGATTTTAGTTTTTTTAAGCAGAGGTTGAGTTCAATCATTTGTACGGCCCTCGGAGGATGTTGTACAAATTTAAAGGAAAAAGGTTCCCCACCCCTGCTGTAAATAATTTTAAAAACCCTTGATTTATAACTTAACATCTCTCTCTCCTATTGATCTGAGTAAATTATAAAGAACAGCCTGTTAATTGAAGGATTATAGCACAGGCCTTTGTCAGATGGTATATTACGCTGTTTTTTTTCTGCTTCGAATAGTTCTCTCTTTTTTCACCATACGTGTGTTTGCATCACTGGTTAATGTTTGTCATTGCAGGTGTGTGTTGAAGAAGTCTGGGTGCCGCACGCCGCGGATAGAGCTGGAGGAGATGGGGCCATCATTTGACCTGGTCTTAAGAAGAACACATCTGGCTTCAGATGACCTGTACAAGTTAGCTCACAGGAAGCCCAAAGCTCTGAAGGTAACAATCACCGTTCTCCAAGCTTTGACAGGAGATGGAAAGGAAAGCAGGGGCTTTTCTTGACTATTTTCATTTGTGTTTGCCTAATCATAGTCTATTATAGGCAAATGAATGGCCCCATGAGGCTGCTCGTGTACTGCTTACTCTTCACTGCACGGTACCACTGTGCTCCACTCGGCTCACCTCCTGTACAAAGCACTTTTCAGAATTTTGCTTTCCAACGCACTTCTGACTTTTTATGGTTAACATGGTTACAAATTGTAGCCAGCTATAAATATATATCTGGGTGAAATCATTTAAAATATGTAATCACAATTCATTATAGTTCGCTATGATTTACACATTTCCTGAAGTAAAACAAAATAAGAGCGAGTGGAATGGAGAAGGGACAACATGGCATTAGATCCTGACTCAGTGTGCATTGAAAATTATTGCCCTGATGATGGCGCCAGAGGGAAGATCACATTGTTGCCTAGCTTTGTCGAACTGTTAACATTCTCACTTTAAATGAAAATAATAGAACTTAATAGTGTTATTTTGAAAGACCTGACATATCGGAGGTCTCTGTTGGTATTCTCGGACTTCAGCTTCTCGCAGGTGATTTTTTTTCCTCAAGAATGTTTCCCAAGAACTTGAGAGATATTCATACCTTTATCGCCACAGTTATGAGTTATAGTTACACAGTATGTGGGAGGTTTTCTGACTGGAAACAGAAAACGCAGGGTGTATTAGTCAAACTGACATGTTTATGCTTCGCTTTATCACTGTTACAGGCCAAGAAGAAGAAGAACATTTCCCATAATGTCTTGGGCACCAAGTTTGGCCGGGTCCACATGCAGAAGCAGGATCTGGCCAAGCTACAGACCCGTAAGATGAAAGGCCTGAGGAAGAGGAGGGGGGATGTGGTCGCTGAAGACCAGGACGCACAGGCACCCGAAGTGGTTAAAGTGGACAGCTGAGGAAAGCAGCGCTGCAGAAACTCCCCGTTCATCAGACTGACATGTGCTGATCCTTGACACCCTTTACTGTCTTGTGAGCAGCCCCGAAGCAGAGGGGATACACATTTATTAAACCTGCCACTATTGTTTTACTCATTACATGTGACTTCTTTGTCTTGAGCATCATGACTGTGTTGTCTCAGTTCTCTGGTCAAACTCATGAGCATCAGGACTTGGGTTATGTGGAAGTCGGCCTTAAACTGGCTGAAGTTCCTTCTGTAACTTGTAAAGAGTTTGTAAAATGGGATTTTACTAGCAGCCTTAAAACAAATAAAAGTGTCTAACCTGTCAAGTTGTTCCGTAAACATAAATCTTTGTAAATATGAGAAGTGTATTATACTACTGCAGGGCCAGCGTTAGCCAGAGTCTCTAGGCCAAACAGTGATAAACCATGAGACGATACTATTGCTAAAAAAAAAGTTGGAAAGAGGCAAAGAGGGCCTTGGTAACCAAACGTCCCCTTCATCCAAAAGCAGAATACGGAGCAATAACCAAGCAGTTCTGTGTGTGTAAAGCAGAGTTCTGTGTGGCTGTACTGTCAGCCTGCTGTGGTTGTTATAGGTGACCTAAAGAAGGTGAGCACAGTGCTGCGTGTCACGGCACTCTGCAGCCCTACACCTGTGGAGGGAGTTCATGAAGTGATCAGTGAAGATCAGATCATCTTTAATGTCATCACACAGACGTATAACGCAACTTCTTTGACATCTCTCACTGCAGTAATAAAAATAGAAATAAATTAAAGCAGCAATGCAAACAAACGAAATGTCAATATTTACACATGTTACGGACTCGCATTTAAATGTGCAAAACTACAAAAAAGTTGATACATCTGTGTGTTCATAAATAGTGTTAAAAGCAACCAAAGATGCTAACAAAATAGCCATACATATTTATAAGCGTTAGCGGTTACAGTCTTCGATGGGTGGAGGTCATGATCTGAGTGTGAGCTCGGGGGGCGGGGCTTAAGGGGCAACTCAACTGCGCAAGCTCTGAGCGCACATACGGGTTGCGTTCCAATAGTCCCAATATGGTGTCGCTGCGGCCGCGGACACTACACGACACGCCCACCTGACACGACACTACGGTGGCTGAGAGGCACTACCGTTAAAAGCTAATTGACGACACTACACAGGAGGAGAGGTTTAGGGGTTTAGGTTTGGGAGGGAGGAAGGAAGATTAGGATTAGGTAAAAAGGTAGGGAGTGGTTAGGGTTAGGACGGGGGGAAGGGAAGGGTTAGATTGAAGGGAGGGAAGAGAACTGCTACCCGGGAAACAGGATGCAACGCGTGGTCTGTGAAGCTCCACCCACGTTGAGCTCCCGCCCACATCGAGCTCATTGAGGCACTGCGCACTGCAGTGAGAGGCTTCTCGTCCGCGGCCGCAGCTAGACCCTTCTCAGCCACCGTCGTGTGAGGTGGGCGTGTCGTGTAGTGTCTAGCTGCGGCCGCGGACAGTACAGTACACAATCAAAAAGAGAAATATGAACGTTAGTTTTTACTGAAATGATCAAATAAAGTCAACATTTCACTGAGCTGTGTGGGGTTTGTTCAACTTTTAAAAGATGTTTGAATGGTGATGGACACAGTGATGGTTGTTAAGGACTAACGTTTATAATAAATACATTTGTATTGATTTTAGGATATTTTCATACAATCATACATATTGGGATCATTTGTATTAATGTGGACCGGAGGGAGAGGGTGACGACGAGCATACATTTCACTTTCCCTTTTTATTTCAATAACAACTTTGGTCATGAAGAATATGTTTCTCTGTTGTCCACGTTCATAAAGCATAAAACAACAGCATTAGAGCACGGTGCAGAGTAGATGAGTCCCTCGTTCTTATTAAACATCCATGTAGTCCGTTGTATAGATTAGAACACTGTAGTTTCCATAGTTTCACCACAGCAGCAGATGACGTCAATGACGTCCGCTGGCGCATCATAAACACGTCGGATAGTGAAAGTGCATTCGGTGGTTCTCAAAGTGGGGTCCGCGACCCCCCGGGGGTCCGTGAAAAGTTTTCAGATTCATTAATTTAAATTATCGTGATATCATTTTCTTTTCATTTTTTTTTTACAAAAGGCTTCATAGTTAAACAAAATAATATTTTATTTTTTTAATCTAAAATAGTTCATAGATTACGTTCTAATCTAACAAATCTATACATTTAACAATCAAGCGCGTCACCCGTTACCGTGGAAACAACAATAACTGGTACGTCAGTCAGAGAGTGCCGCTGCTAGCATCATAGAGATATACAGATGTAGCGATTCATTTCAGACAGTTTGAAACGCGAGGGCCGTGATTGGTACGTGATCTGCCCTCGCTCAAGGGAAAATCTCCAGCTTGATTTGAGACCGCCCCCGTGATAGATAAATGTAATTATAATGAAGCCAGCTGCAATGGATCATTGATCCACCAGGGGGTGCAGTGGGGTTCCACACTGGAGCTCATGTGAAATAAAGTCAGATACAGTACGCTGGATGTACAGCGGAACTTTGTTAAGATCCATATATCATGGATATCATACTACTGTGCTAAATAAGAGACATGTAATCATTTACAAAACATCACCATGTTGTTATTTAACAAAATAATTTAGTTATTCGAAAAAAACGAACGGGAGGAAATGCAGCCCGGCTCTCGATTTTTAATCCTAATTTAATCATCATCTTCACCACGATCATTTATGTTTATGTTCACCGAATTGACATGAAATCACTGACACATATGAATATACTGTATTCAACTTCATTAAAACGTTATTAACGTGCCTAAACTCAGTAATTCACCAAAAATATGTATATTTTAATAGAGCCTCGTCGGTAGATCAGGATCCCAAAGCGTAGCGGAGGGATCCTCATCTGGATGAAGGGTGATATTTTCCCCATAAGGAACAAGTCGCTGCAAATTATCCGTAGTACCCCTCACTGCAGTGCGCAGTACCACAGGCCCCTCCTTCTCAACCTCAAGATCGCCCCTCCTTCTCTATGGCGTTATATTTGTGCCTCTATCCTGAGCACGCAATGAAACATGTTGAGCATAGAAAATTCAATTGAGCGCACACTTGAACATTTTTGAGCACAGAGAAATATATTTTCTCTCATAAAACTCCTGCTCCGTGCGCAGGCAGACCGCTGCACGTGCTCTCTCTCCCTCGCTCGCTCGACCTCTCCAGCCTGTGCGCGCTCAACTTTGCCTGCGCGCTCGCTCAAATTGTCACAGCGTGACAAATGTGCCACAAAACCAACCAATCGGAGAACTCGAGAAGGTCAATTCTGATTGGCTGGCTGTCTCCAATCATATCTGAGATGAGAGAAGAGAGGGATTTTCATTTTCGGTTGCCATCAGGCTGTTGGCGTTCCTATTATCGTTGACATTTACAGGACATGACAGACTCGAACGAAGAGATTACTACGCCACAGTGTCAGGTGAGTTATACATTTCTGGTTTTCTGATATCACGTTTGTAATACCTTTGACGAAACCTTTTATCCGATCGTTTCAGATAAGGGCGAGTTTGCTAGCCGGCAACATAGCTATATGGATAGTTTAAGCAAACAGCTAACAAACCGTAGCCTAATATTAGTGCTAGTATTAGACAAATATTGTCAATATAAATTACCATTTATACCCATCTGCACCAGCGGGTAATATTTACCTTATAGAACATTCAGGGATTTTCGCGCCATTGATCTTGTACGAAGCAACGCCTGTTGTTTATTGCGGTTCCTAATAGAGAGAGAGAGAGAGAGAGAGAGAGAGAGACACTTTGCACATAACTTACGGTAGCAATCTTTCATGCAATCTGCACATACTAGATGTCATATGAACGCTGAGAGTCCACAGATTCTATTGGTATACGTTTCATCACTCTGCGATAAAAACGCACTCTTTACCCTGTGTTCTAGTATCATAAATAAAAGAACATTGTACCTTGACCCCTGGCGGTTCTAGTTTAACTGAAAATATGATCATATTAATGTTACATCCTGAATTGATTTAGGGCGATGGTGCAGTTGAGTCAGCAGCCAGAAACCTGGTGTCTTTGCTGCTTAACACTATGGCCGCAAGCGGCTCAGGAAGGACGACGGAGACAGAGCCTCCTGCACCTAGGAATGTAGTGCCAGTGACAGTGCCGCAAGAGATGGCAAGGTTCGTATTTCAGCCACATAATTATATTTTTCGTTTGACTTAAAAAATTCAAAATCGATGTTTTCTTAAGTCCAGTAGTCACATCGCTGACATGAT